GCAGCTGTGAAGCAATGCAGGCTGCTGAGGAGCCTTAGGCCTTCTTTTGGAAGCTCTGGGGTTCTTTGACCCAGCTGCAGTTTGTTAGGTTAGGTTGCAAAAGGCCAGGCCATTTTTATGCAAATGCCTCTGCTCACAGCTTCAGTGGGATTGTAAATTGGGTAGGGGGGGTCTCAGAGAATCACAGGGCAGTGCAAACAGTAATGGTTGCCCGTCGGCCCTGCCCCGGATAGGTCCCTGGGTCTCTGTCCCGCAGCCCGTGCAGGAACAATGAATGCTGCGACCACCTCTGAGAGAAAGCCGCCCTCGCATTCCTGTTCCAATGCCAAACAGTCCAGTTTCTCCCCGTATGAGTCTGGGTTCCCAGAGTCTCGCCTGGAACTGGAGTTCAGAACAGTCGGGAGTTTGTATCTCCCTCCCAATTGAAAAAAACCACAGTGTACCCAGTTGCCAGCCCGTTTCGCACAGGCCTCCATACCTCCGCTCTTCCGCACCTCTGCACCTCCTACCAGTCTAGATGTCCTTTCTCTTTCCCTCTAGTTGTCGAACTTCCACTCAGCCAGCCTTCCCGTGGTCCTGGTTGATATCCGTTTTGTCTTTTAGTTGTAGTTTTGATGTGGTTGTGCAAGACAGCAAGTTCAGGTGTTTACCTATGCTGCCATCTTGGTTCCTCTAAATGGAATCTTAAAGTATGTTTTTTGTATCTGGTTTCTTTCACTTAACATTATGTTTATGAGATTCATACATATTGTTGTGTGTAGTTATAGCACATTCATTTTCTTTGCTGTATAGTATTCTATTTAATGTACATATCAGGGTTCATCTATTCTATGATTAGTGGACATTCAAGTTATTTTCGTTTTGTGGATGAAGTTACTGTGAACATTTTTGCATATATCTCTAGGTAGAATTTTTGTTGAGTACCCACCTAAGAGTGGAATTGAAAGGTCATGGAGTATGCATATGTTTAATAAATAATGAAATGCCAAACTGTTTCCTGAAAGGATTGTACAAAACGTACTGTCCTAGCAGCATGTGAGAGTTCCCTTTACTCTAACATGTTATTGCCAGTCTAGTTAGTTTTAGCTATTATATACTACTAGAGGCTTGGTGCACAAAAATTTGTGCACTGGGGAGGGGGGGAATCCCCTCAGCCCGGCCTGTGCCCTCTTGCAGGCTGGGTCCCCTTGGGGGATGACAACCTGCTGGCTTAGGCCTGCTCCCCGGGGGATTCGGCCTAACTTGGCAATCAGACATCCCTCTGGCAGCCCAGCAGCCCTCGGGGGATGTCCACTTGCCAGCGGAGAGCAGACCTAAGCTGCAGTCAGACATCCTTAGTGCTGCTGATGAGGTGGGAGAGGCTCCCACCACTACCGCTGTACTGGCAGCCATCAGCCTGGCTTGTGGCTGAGCAGAGCTCTGCCATGTGAGAGCGCACTGACCACCAGAGGGCAGCTCCTGCATTGAGCGTCTGCCCCCTGGTGGTCAGTGTGTGTCATAGTGACCAGTCATTCCCAGTCTTTCTGCTGTTAGGGTCAGTTTGCATATTACCCTTTTACTATATAGGATAGAGGCCTGGTACACAGGTGGGGGCCAGCTGGTTTGCCCTGAAGGGTGATCCGGATCAGGGTGGGGGTCCCACTTGGGTGCCTGGCCAACCTGGATGACGGGCTGATGGCTGTTTGCAGCTGGTC